CAACTAATATGGGGATTGTCCTCCTTAGCTAGTTAATGGAATTTCGTTGCTTTTGGTCATATGGTTAATCTTTCTAATTATAATTAACTTTTAAGGAATGGGTCGATAGAAAGATCATGCATCTGTCCAAGAAGTTGACAATTCCTCCTTTAACGTTATAATTAATATATATATACACATAAACATATCATTGAATAGGAATTGGAAGGTTACTAACTATAGTAAAAGGCATGTCATAACTTATATGGGCAGCAAATTTCAACAACGTGACTCAAAAGTCACATATTTCCACTAACATTGTTGTATTGGGTGTAACTTTCATATTATTTTCATAGTTTGTATGCATATAAATTTGATGCTATGGAATCCAAAATTGAACGTTCATAATAATTTCCTAGTTTGTACTTTGTACGCATATAAGTTTGCTGTTATGAATTGAAAATTTCCATGCACGTGTCCCGGGCATTATAAACATAAGTTAAATTGGTTGAAAAATAGACGTTAAATTAAATAAAGACGTAGACCTTAAATTTTATTGATAAAAAGAAAAAAGATAAAATTTGATTAACTCATTCGTTGGTCTCGAAAAAATCATCCGCTGGTTAAACTTCTTTCTTCAAGTACCCCAGAAAAAAATAGAAGAAAGAGAGAAAATAAATTTATGATATATGTTTCACCCTAAATACATTGCAAACACACTAGTATACAAACGATGATTATAACATTCCATCTTTTCCGACCGCGACAATGGAAGCTAAAATCGCTTCAAAAAGGAGAGTCCGAACAGAATGGATTTGCCGACAAAAATTAACCCATAAAGTTTCACTTTCTAATTTCTTTTTTTCGAAACGTAAATTTTTTGAACCAACCAAAGGTTCGAACCAATGAGAGTGTAAGAATATGTAAGTTTAGCGGCTAAAAAAAAGAAAAAAAGTTTAACCGCTAGACCGAGGAGAATCATCTGATTTTATTTTCTAATTTCTGATCTTATCAAAATCTTTTGATTAAGTTATGTTTTTATTTTCTAATTTCTGATCTTATCAAAGTCTTTAGACCGCTTGCTAGGCCTATGGTGTTCTGTGAGTTGGGTTCTGGGATCACTGCTAGCTTTTGACATGATAATTGGACTTCTCTAGGTCCACTTATTGAGCTAGTTGGTGAGAGAGGGCCGCAAATCACTGGTATTAGTTTGGAGGCAGTGGTTTCTGATGCGTTGAATGCTGATGGCTGGAGGCTGGATCGTAGTAGAAGCAGAAACCCGATCATTTCCCTATTAAAGGACTACTTGCCGAATGCTAGGGAGGTGATTGACTCTGAAGTGGATGATAATTATGGCTGGTATCCGGTTGCTGGATGTGGTAATGGCAGATTCTCTTCGAGTGAAACTTGGAGGGTGTTGCACCCTATTCATTTGGAGGTTTTTTGGCACAAGGAAGTGTGGTTTAATGGTAGGATTCCGAAGCATGCTTTTCTGACTTGGGTGGCTGCTCGGGATAGAATGGTCACTAGAGACAGGCTTATCAGCTGGGGTTTGACGGTGCCTTCTAACTGTGTTCTTTGTTCAGGACATGATGAAAGCCGCCAACATTTGTTCTTTGAGTGCTCCTTCAGTAATCAAGTCTGGTCCTTCTTCCTTTCGCGGATGCATCTTATTCCCCCGCAAGGTTTTGAGGAAGTCTTGCGTTGGTTGAGGTCTCCTTCGAGAGATAACAATGTCAACTTGCTCACTAAACTCATTCATCAGGCAGTATTGTATTTAGTTTGGAAGGAAAGAAATAGAAGGATTCATTCATCAGAGGAGAAGTCTCCAAGGAATATTATTGCAGAGATTCAGCAGGTTCTAAGGCTCAGATTGGATCCCATTGCTCGCAGGCAGTTGATCACAGATGGGTCCCCTTCTGTTCTAGCTACATGGATGTCGTTCTTTGCAGTGTAAATTTTTGCAGGTATTATTTTGACTTTGAAGTAGGAGAATTCTGGTAGCTATGTAAGTTTCTCTTATCTCTGCTTTCACTCATGTTATGGGCCTGTGCGTATTTGTATTGGGCCGGATTTTAAATAAATAAAATGAATCGTTAAAAAAAAAAAAATGTTTTTATTTTCCTCTCTTTTGCTACTTTTTTATCTAACACTAACAATTTTCGAGAATAGTTATCTGAAAGTATATTAAGATCTTTTGTGTTGGTGCTTTCTTTTTTTTTTGATCAAAAGTGCTTTCTTTTATTCACTGTCATTTATGGGCTGTTATTGGTTTGTCATTTAAAAAGAGTTTTAGTGATTTTCAATTTACTGAATTTAAATTAGTGTCTATCGCTCATTCATTTGCCCTACATTTGCCCTTGTTACCTTTATCAATTTCTCACCATTAATCATACATCAATCTTATCCTTAACTACCCCCACAAGGATTATGGAGGAAAAAAAATTCAAAGTTCATTATGAGAAAGAGATTGCCAACTCAATAACCCTCAAATTAATAACCTTGGAATGAGTTGCTTTTGTAAACAAACAATGCATATTAACGAAACCTTAAACTAATTTATTCTGAAATATGTTCTGCCACATAAAATTCCCAATGTTTTATTTAAAAAACACACGGAATGCCTATACTGTTATTTATCTCTGATATCCATCGGCATAAAGATGAGTAATCGGACTATAACAATTTCCAAGCTAAATAGATTAATGCTAAAACAAAAACTAAATAGATTAAATATATATCGACTAAAATTTAAACTGGTCAGATATTATGTAAGATTCTTTTTATTTAAAAAGGAACAAATCAGCAAGCGATACACGGTAGGTGCGATGGGATTGTGCAGGCTATGCCAACGAGGTCTAACATCTATGTCAAAAGAACTTATACATGTAACATATCTATATCCGACGAACCATGACAGTCTAGCCTTCGTGATTCAAATGTGAAAAGAAATAAATCAATAAAAAGTGATTGGACTCTTAGTTTAGTTTTCTTTTTTTTTGTATTTTTTTTTTGTCAACTTTTTTTTTTTTGTATTTAATTCACATCATTTTGAGGTGATTATAAGTGGGTCAGAAGTTTGGGTTGTAATCCTAGTTTCCGAAGAAATTTGTTTTTTCTTTCCTGCCGGCTATGTAATTCTTCAATATATCATTGTATTTAGTAAAATACTAGATGTTTTGCCCACACATGCGGGTTTAATTATCTTTACATCAATCTAAAAAATCATCAAAATAAATGATTATTTGTATCCAAAAAATTGACCTAAAACATTAAACTTTTTACATGATAAAGTTATTCACAAATTTAAAAAAAAAATCTATTTTTTTCTTTAAAATTTTGCAAATCTAAAGTCTATTTCATTTCTTCTTGATTGATAAAAAATATAGAAATCTATCTTTTAATTTGGAAAATTGAATCGATAAATATACATTCAAAAATTGATCTTACAGAAAGAATAATATTAGTTTGGATAATAATTCAATATATTTGAATTTATTTTTGTCAAACATGTATTTTCTTTCTTTTTGAATGATTTTTATTTTATATGATTAATTCATGTTTAAGGTTTAACTATATAAAATATAAATATAAATTAAATTTAATGTGTGAGTTCAGAGGCGAAAAATAACTTCACAAATATATATCATTATAATATATTATTATATTATTTTAATTTGAAAATAATTACGTATTATAATTCTTTGAATTATATACAATTAAAAATTTATTTTATGAATATTTATTTATGTGTTTTCTGTTTTTGAATTTTTTTTATTAAAAATATAGTTTTCGGATAACAACACAATATATATAGGAATTATCTTCTTTTTATTTTTAAATATATATTTAGATTATAGATAATTCTTATCATTATTATGAATTTAAATCATTTATCTAAGTATTAAATTCGTTTTTATTTTTGTCTGAATTATATATATTTTTCATTAAGGGTATAATAGATATTAACCACTCTAACTTTTAACGTGAGAGCTCCGTTGCGAAAAATCACTTCGCAAATAATAGTACAGATTCCAGATGATAAAAAAATGGGTCAGGAGCTATTATATGCTTTCAGCTTTAATATTTCCACTTTACGGAACTAGATTGAAATTTTAGTTGATAGCTATTTGTGTATTCGAGATACAATAGGTACATAGTGAATATTAGGATTTTTTTTATAGGTATTCATGATCCGATTATTTTGTCATTATTTTGTCATGATCCGAATATTTTTTCTAAGTAATCAATTATCCTATTCGATCAGTAGTCATTTAGATATTCGGTGTTCCAGATATCTAATTTTTTTTTAGATTTTAATTGGATACCAAATTGATCCGTACAAAAAAATCAAAACTAATAAAAATAATACTATTTTATTATAAAAATAAAAAAATGCTTTTAAATTATTGTCTATTATAATAAATTTAATAAATAAAAATATTGTAAAACTTATAAAACATAATATTATCTAACTTATATACATAATTCTTTAAATATATGTATAAAATGGATAAGGTAATAATCGTCTTATAAATATTAATATTTAAAATTTACTTTATTTTTTACAGATATTACATTTATTATTTTATTTACTTCGTAGAGTTACGAACATCCAGATTTTTGGTTCAAACCGAACCAGATAACAATTCGAATCAAAATTCATCAAAGAGTCTTGTCTTAACTTTGTAGTGGGTTTAGAAGTATAGCTCAAAAATAATCACCATTTCATTCCTTAGAATGATTTTTCATCAGTTATACTGCCAAGATCCACTGAACTAGTCAAGATAAATAATACAAGTCAAATTTGTAGCAGTTAAGCCACCAAGCTAATGAACCAACATCAACGACACTAAGCTATGACAGACACAACACAGTAAGACGACAACATTCACCATCATCCTTCATCCCTTAAAAGGACAACAATTAATCAAGTGACTAACACAAACCCAACAAGCAATTTCATTTTAGTCTTAGATTTAGGAAGTAAGAACTTACATCGGTTAAGGTTTTTAGCCATATTACATATCGTCTTCCCCTAAACAAGTAAACATCAACAAGTTTAGTGAGTCGTGTCTCAAAGGCTGAGATTGTAATCAAAATCAAAGAGATCCTTATATGAATCACTGTAGTTCCACATAGACCACATGCAAGGTAGATCTACACAGTTGTTCTCCAGTTTTGTTGCAGCTTCGGCGATCATCATATTTCAAACCGTAGGCGACGATCCAGCTCTGGTGATGATCTAGCTTCACCGACGATCCACTCACATACCTGGAATCACTATTGCTGAAGAACAGATCGCCGGAACTGCATCGTCATCTTCGATGGAAATGGACACTGCAACTTCTTGCGGTGGCTTCAAAAAATTCCACCGATGGAGATCGAAGACCAAGCATAATCGACCCTCAAACCTCCGTCAACGGAGCTCCAGAGATTGTCGGCGAACCTAGTCACCTCTTTTCATCTTTCTCTTTTGTTTTTTCAGGTAAAAATAGAAACGAAGAATTAGGGTTGCAGATCTTGGGAATTCCGTAAGTCTTTCTATGGCCCATTCCACTTTCGGAATATCCTATCACAAGTTACGTCTGCGAGACCCATAATTATATAGACCTACTAAATGCTGGCCCAAATTTGTCCCGCATCAAACTTTTACTGGTCAAGTCTACGGTACATGTCCACCATTGCCATCCCTAGTCAAAATCTCTACTGTAAAAAAAAAAAAAAAAAAGAGTGTCAAATATTAACATTGTACTTGAATCCCTAACCAATCTAAAATCAGACCATATGACCACCTCATTAAAAGATTTAGAGTTAAATGGCTTTATCTATCAAATTTACTTGGACTTTCGTAATGCAGGCCTAAGTATTT